CCCCCTGCCTTGCGTTATCGTTCTCTTTCAATAAATGATCAGGTTCACTCTTTTTTCTTTGACCATACGGTCATCATCATTGTTGCACGTTGGCTGAAGGTGGAAAGCTCTTCGGCTACTGTCACTATACAAAAGATAAGATATAAGAAAAAGCGACATGCTAAACGATACAGGATATGCAAATGGAAACTAGTACTAGAATGCGTAGAACTCTCTCTTCCGGTCCGATATTTCAGCGATTGCTTTAGTAATACTGTGTTTTCATTTGATATGGTTTTTCTTTTACTTTTTATTGTTTTGCTGCTGTGTTTGGTCACCAGAGTTATTACCATAATCGGGACAGGTGTCATTACCAAATAGCGGACAATATCGCGGACCTTATCGATGAGATTTTACCGTTTGCGGCTTATTCAGTATCCGTATCCCTAGTTCCAGGCAACTTTTTCTTCTAATCCACCTGGCAATCGGTTGTACAGATTCACTTCCTTTATCAGCTAACACGTTCCTCCACTGTGAATGTCATCGATTCGTTCCTCTTTCGCAGTCTTCCTTACACTTACTTTGTTTACTGAACTGCGCATTGATCTGCACCGTTCTTCTAAGTTCGTCGCACATGAACCCGCTGCTTACGTTCACTGCTCAAACTGTCCCTATCAATTTACTTCCTTTTCTTCTAGCTGGTCTCATACACGGACCGAATCTGGCGTCTCACGATTCGGCTTCATACAATGCGGCACCTGATCCGTCGAGACAAGCGATCTTCCATACGAGCGACAACGGGGATCAAAATAGTTCTATGTTGCCTTCTTTTGCAGAACCGGATCATTCGCCAGTTCGACCTTTTGTCTATGAACCTCTGAACTCGATCCGTCAGCATCAAAAGGCCACTCTCTCTTTCAACGCACCCGGTGGCTCACATTCCGAAGGCGAAACCTTGCCGAAGAACTCCACAGTGACCTATGTGAATCAGCCCATGTTCACCACCTCGTCTGCGCTCAGCGGGACCACGCTGACTGGGACAGCTGCATATGCATCATCAATTGGGAGTAGCAACTTCGTTGCAACCACAGGACCGCCTCCTTACATGGCGAAAAACGGTACCGGAGCCAGCCACAATCAACAAGAAGTGGACAGACGGCATACTGACAGTAATTATGATTACATTGTTCGGCCTGGGGAGATGTGGATGGGACGCTATCTGATCAATAATTTGATAGGTAAAGGGTCATTTGGTCAAGTAAGTTGGTCGCTGAAGCAAACATCTCTTTTTAAGGCGGAATTGCTGCTACATCTCGTCTACCTTCACAACCCAAATGCCACGCCTGTTATCTTCGACGTCTCTCTGCTGGTTTCGTCCTCTTTCATTACTTTTCTTTTGTCTAAATATGTTACCGTTAACAATGACGTTTCACCCCCCTTATTCTTCTTCGTATGGAAGGCGGCAGGTAGCCTTACTGCATGGTTTGCATGCTTTTTGTCAAATCGTGGGAGTGCAACAAACAAAATGGCTTGCCGCAGTTTTCCAGACTTTACTCCCATCTCTCTCAATTTTGCCCTTTCATCCGTCTGCATTCTGAGATATTATCAAACCTTCTTGGTTTATCAGGAGGTTGGTTCGACATCACATTCCTTTTTAGTTGCTTACAGAGTAAGTGAACGTTCTGTTTGCCAAGCGGTGTTATCAACGGACAACATATCTAGGTTCAGCTTCTAATTTCGCAGAGCGTCATCTGATCCCTCCTTCAATGCGAAGGCACCCGAGTCCCTTTTCTCACCGGACCTTCGATGAGCACTGATATTTTTCACCCGGTTCTTTTACTGCGAGCTCGCGACTCAGTGAAATCGTACTTATTTCCCAACTATTCTAACTGCCAGCCTCACCGTGCATCACGCTTTTTAACCCATGGTATATTTAGATTTCTGCGTCCTCCTTTTTACGTGATCGCGGAAATCTGGAAGCAGACGCATTGAACTTCCTCCTGCTGTCGAGATGCTAACAAATACTATCCCTTGGACTTTTAACAGACCTGTCCCGTGTAGCGTTGCAATTAAGCCACACTCTCTCTGGAGATCCTAGATTAACCTTGAGCTCCAATCGGGGAGAGTGCTGCGTCTACGCTATCACCCTAGGCACGTTGGTATCATCATCATTTTGTTCACCTCTTGGCTCTCTCGTCTTCTAACATATGGAATTTGTGAAGCCGCGACTATCGTCGTCTTCGTTGTCACACCACCACCGACAGAAGATCAGCGCTTCATTACCACGCGAACACCATCGGACGCGCGTGGGTTTGTTGTATCCCCGGCTTCGGCGTTTGCGCCTTAACGCTTTGGATCAAAGTTTTACACTGTCCTCCTTTTCATCGCTTCCATCCCCCGCCTTCGCTTGCAAATAGGACACGTCGTGATAGTCGCTGGGTAGGCATGCCGTGCGCATCTCTAAGCCAGCAAGGCTTCCGCAGTGAAATGATGTCAATCGGTCGGCGGAGTTTGTCAGATTTGAAGTCTCCTCGATGGACCTCCACCTTATCGATGTTTGGCTGCCATCGTACACCAGCAATGCTTCGCAGACAGCGCTGATCGAAGATAGATAGCGCTGAACATCACTTTTGCAAACGGACCAAGTCTCATAGCCGTACAGCAGATTCGTTCGTATCGCAGCATTGTAGACTCGTCTATTGAGAGCCAGGCTGAGGTCACGACGAAGCCACAGGTGACGGAGGTTAGCGGAAGCTATTTTAGCCCTGGAGACACGCAGGGAGATCTCATCCGTCAAACCGCAAATACTAAGACAACTCCCAATCTAAATGAATTTGTCGACCACTTTCAGTGGATGCCCCGAAAGGCTGAGACGAAATGCCCTTGACCAGTCCTGTAACAGGACCTTACATTTGGAAGGGGCGACAGTCAACCCAAATTGGGCGACAGACATCACTAGTCTAAGCATCACATGCTAGGCGGCCTGGGAGGACACACAAATCATTGTGATGTCATCTGCGTACTCCAAGTCCCGGAGGCGGTTACCCGGGGGCAGCTCGACGCCGCAGGACTTAGAGTTTTCCAGGGCAGTATCCGGGGTCTCGTCCACGGCGAAGTTAAACAATAGTGGAGAGGCCGCACAACCTTGTCCTATATCGCTGATAATACTGAGGGGGCGCAAAGTCTCCGTATACTCTCACGCAGCCTCAAAGTTTGACGGTAAACGGCACGGAGAATGCTGATGTACTTCACAGGTACTCCTTTCTTCTGTAAACAGTCCCAAAGGGCCACTCTGACAACAGAGACAAACGCGGCTCGAATGTCCAAAAATATGACTATGGTTGGTCGACTGAATGTATGGCAATGTTCGAGTAGCTGACAGATCGTAATAATATGATCGATGCAACTGCGATCAGTGCGAAACCCAGCTTATTCTTTACGCAAATTCTGTTCTTGCACGCAACTTAGCATCCGCGTGTGTAGGATAGCGAGCAGTTTGGATGCAGCCCAAATAAGACCGATCCCACGTGGATTGGGGCAGACGGTCCGGTCTCCTATTTTGTAGACAGGGACAATATCCGCTGATTTCCAGTCGGATGGGATAGTTTCCATAGTCCAAATCTGATGAAAGTGGGATGCCAGTTCACGGGTTGGAGCAGGACCTCCATATTTGAAGAGGGCAGAAGGAAGTACATCTGGACTAGGTGACTTGTGGCGCTTTGGTAGGCGAAGCTCATAAGAAACCTCGGCCTCAGGCGATGGAAGAACATCCACGCACCAGGGAGCACTGTGAATCCCTGAAGATAGACTCAGTTGTCCTGGTGACCAGTTGAACGGATCTTCCAATTGCTCTGCTCATCTTACCAGACGATGGTGACGACCATAAATTAGTTCGGCATCGTTTTCACACAAAGCCTCACTAGCTTTTGGTCTTATGCTTCCTGTGAACTGAATCAGTTGGAAGAGTTTGTGGGAGTTTCCTGAGGAGCCTGCTCGCTCCGTCTCAACGACGCGTGTCCACCCGACCTCGCGATCCTTCCTGAGAAGCTGTGAGCTCAACACCTGTGGTTCTACGTAGTGCGTTGTACTCAACTCCGGCGGGAATTGTTCAACGGCTTTCCACTATTTGGAGAGACTGTGCGGAGATCCAATGACTAGCAGCCCGTCTAGTGAAGCCACAGACCAAGGCAGCGGACTTACGTAAGGCGCTCTGAATCTCTGCCCAGTGTATCTCAACATCGGAGGATAGAGGATGCAGGTTGAAGTCCAGTGTGTTCTGAAATGCCACGAGAACATATGCGGCAGCGGACTTGTCTGTGTCAAACCATTTGCGGTGACGCTGTTGCCTGCCTCCAAAGTGCAGAACGACCTTAGCACACACGAGCGCATGCTCTGAAGTCAAGCAAGTGTTCCAAATTGACTTGCAGTCTGTTATGCAGCCTCACCGACGGTAACTAACATCGATGTGGTCAATCTGCCTCCACGCTTGACTAGGCGCCGGAGGTCACCAGGTGGCTCGTTAGGGCCAAGAACGTCGGATATTGGTGATCGTAATGAACAAGCTTTGGTCGGCGCACAGTTGAGGGAGTCGATCACCGTTTTCCTTCCTGCGAGTATCGTGGTTGTGTTGACCCCCCGCTTCGCGCTCATGAACCTCTAGATTCCCGGCCTGCGCATTTAGGTTCCCGACGAATATCACGATGTCCGTGCGGCGTTTTTTGCGGAGGATATTTGTGAGTTGACGGTAAAGTTCGTCTTTAGCTTCATCCGGGCTGCATTCCATAGGAGCGTGCTCCACTACAATGAATGAGTAGCGCCTACTGGAAGATCCCACTGAGCTTTCCATGTAGGTTGCACAGAGACGACTGTTGACCGGGAACCAAATCAATTAGCGCTGCCTCCGCACGCGCGCTTAACGCAACTTCTACGTCGGTGCAACCAGAGGCTGTCGCTGTCGCATCTCCAGACAAGCTCAAGGTGATTGTACAATCGCAACTTGAGTATGGTGAGAGCAATCATATCGTTGTGCTGGAGTCTTGTAAATGGGTTTCGGTTAGGCAGCAAATGTCGGTGAAACACGTTTCCATGATGCTCAAAAGAGCAGCTTATGATCCAACCTGCATAAGCGTTCTAACATTGAACGTAGCTAGCTTCAAGAGCGAGCGGGATGCAATAAAAGCCTTGCTGTTGGAATTGGATTTTATGCGATCGGTTTGGAGTGGTTCATTGGTGAGGCCAAAGTTACCGTTTTCATTTGCGATGCACTTTTGGAGACTCGAAATGAGGGGCGAGTTGCCAAGTATAGGATGGTTCAATAAACGTTGGACGAAAAAGGTACTTTACGGTGCGGTAGAGTGAGATTTAGCATGCCCGGCCGCCAGCACCTTGACCAAAGAGAGAGTCCAGAGAACGAGAATCGTGATCAGAGAGACGTAAATCCATCATTTCATGTGTTGTGTGGGCCTAAAGCTTTTCGGTAGCCCAGTCCGAGGAAGAGAGTTTACTTAAGAGGCCCAAGCTGGAACCTTCCGTCATAGGGACCTGACCCGCAAGGCAGCGGGGCCAATTCAGGGAATCGCGCCTATTGGGAGCCGGTGACCGATTGCTCGGTTCATACGCCTTTCGTTTAGCGGGCTGCCATACAAGGGCCCAATATTCCCAGTAATTCAGTGTCCAGCTGTAGGATTACAATGCTCCAACGAAGCGAAGCAATGGACAGTGACTTTTTTAGTGGCGAGTCACATTCGCCACCTCGCAATGTCGTTAAACGGACATATGTGCCTTTTTATACACGCTTGCGATGCGAATCTCCACCACCCTCTTCGACACTGCCGCTGAACCTTTTGCTGCAACGGGTAGATCCCAAACGACCTAGCTGGCACCACGAGGAGGTAGTTCGGAAAGCCAGCCTTTTGGTTGGTTCTTGACCTTACAAGATGTGACTCGCGTTCATCACCAATGGCACGTTCACTATTGTCTTCTAGTCACCCTGTGTGTGTTTAGTGTGTGTTGCCTAGTCTTGTGGAATAGGGCTTATTTCAACGCGCGGCAGTAAACGCCACCAAGAGGCTGTCTCCCCCCTCTTCGTACGGTGACGTAGCATTTGTTACTGTATATCTTGGCACGATCTAGCCACCTTGATTCGGAATGTTTTCTTAGGCGTTTCGGTGTTACACTAGGTTCCTTTTCTTTTCCTCTCAGTGACGCTTTTTCAAACGTCATCATAATTGTATGGCGACGAAGCATCAGTTCAAATTA